ACCCTATGGCTGATGGATATGCTGCTGCCCACTCCATGCTCCTGGTTAGTGGACAAGCCAGCACGCCCATGCCCCTCCATTAATAGTCACTTACAGCACCAATTCCTCCTTTCTGCTTATGTCTTAACATCTCAGGGAAGAATTCAGATAACTCCGGCTACGGTTTTCTTCAGCCACTAAGACAGCAAACTCCGGCACAGGTCATTTGTCATACTCGTTGTGGTCCTGGATCCCTGATAGGTCTCTTAATGAAATGATGTCTGCAAATCCTCTTTCTTTGAGCTATGCCAGAGAAAGCTGCATGATAGCGGGTGTTGGACAGGAGGTGATGGTGGGAGGTGGTGATGGAGACCTCCTTAAAGCCCCAGGTGGACCTTCCCTCTCTCCCTCCTCCCAGGCTAACTGGTCTTTAGTGGCTCTGGGACTGTCAGGGCTGGGGAGCTTCTCCGGGCATGCATAGCTAAAGAGATCCTGTTGTCAGAGAGCACCACTTCCTAGTAAGTAACCTAGATTTCTCTTACACTCTGGCCGCTTCCTGCTGTTTAAATAGAGGAAGTGTAATGAAGTTTATTATCTGCGACCTAATGCTAATCCCTCTGGCGTCCTGCCTTTGTGCAAAGGGAGAAGGGTCATTTGAAAAGAAGTATCAGGACTGAGCTCTGTTGTTGTAAACACTCTCCAGAGTAATAAAACAAATCTCCTGAACAAACAACCTTGTGAAACACTTAGTACTCTGGAGTCATTTGTGACAACCCTGAGTTGTATAATATATTCCATCACAGGAAAGGAAAGCCAAGGTATGGAAGGCTGTGATATTTTGTCCTGTGTTCTTAACATGGTACCTTATCAATGAATCAGTGAATTAAAATTCCTTCTAAAACTCTTGTCAAGTTACTCTCATATCTGCTAAAGCTTTTTCATTTTATTTAAACAAGTAAACAGTGACTAAAATTAACATTTGGCGTATAGGACAAACGATACTGAAGTAAGCCATACGTCCAAGCTTGATGATATTTCACCTATCGATTAAAAGAAAAAAATGCCCCCTGCCATCAGTAAACAAAGGATATTGCAGCCAGCAAGCCATCACATTATAGCCACCCCTGTGGTGAGCCCAGAGTGAACTCAGGACGAGAAAGCACAGGATACTGGCCCCAGAGAGCTGAGGTGCACATCAAAGGAACGATTTCAGTGAGCCCAGACTCATATCTTCCCATATATGAAAAACACTAAATTCCTTAACTTGAGATATCTGATTTTCTTTTTCTTTCTTTCTTTCTTCTTTTTTTTTTAACTGGAGTATAGTTGCTTTACAGTGTTGTGTTAGTTTCTGTTGTACAAGGAAGTGAATCAGCTGTATGTATACATATATCCCCTCCCTCTTGGACCTCCCTCCCACCCACCCCCATCCCACCCATCTAGGTCATCACAGAGCACCGAGCTGAGCTCCCTGCGCTATACAGCAGGTTCCCGCTAGCTAGTTATTTTACACATGGTCGTGTATATATGTCAGTCTTAATCTCCCAATTCATCCCACCCTCCCCTTCCCCCACCTCCACATGTCTGTTCTCTAGATCTGCATCTCTGTTCCTGCCCTGCAAATAGGTTCATCTGTACCATTTTTCTAGATTCCACATATATGCGTTAGTATACGATATATTTTTTTTTCTCTTTCTGACTTACTTCACTCTGTATCACAGACTCTAGGTCCATCCACATCTCTACAAATGACCCAATTTCATTCCTTTTTATGGCTGAGTAATATTCCATTGTATATATGTACCACATCTTCTTTATCCATTCACCTGTCGATGGACACTTAGGTTGCTTCCGTGTCCTGGCTATTGTAAATAGAGCTGCAATGAACACTGGGGTACATGTGTCTTTTTGAATTAGGGTTTTCTCAGGGTACATGCCCAGTAGTGGGATTGCTGGGTCATATGGTAGTTCTGTTTTTAGTTTTGTAAGGAAACTTCATACTGTTCTCCATAGTGGCTGTATCAATTTACATTCCCACCAGCAGTGCAAGAGGGTTCCCTTTTCTCCACCCCCCTCTCCAGTATTTATTGTTTGTAGATCTTTTGATGTTGGCCATTCTGACTGGTGTGAGGTGATACCTCATTGTAGTTTTGACTTGCATTTCTCTAATAATTAGTAATGTTGAGCATCTTTTCATGTGCCTCTTGGCCACCTGTCTTCTTTGGAGAAATGTCTATTTAGGTCTTCCACCCACTCTTTGATTGGGTTGTTTGTTTTCTTGATATTGAGCTGCTTGTGTATTTTGGAGATTAATCCTTTGTCAGTTGCTTCACTTGCAAATATTTTCTCCCATTCTGAGAGCTGTCTTTTAGTCTTGTTTATGGTTTCCTTTTCTGTGCAAAAGCTTTTAAGTTTCATTAGGTCCCATTTGTTTACTTTTTTTTTAACATCTCTATTGGAGTATAATTGCTTTACAGTGGTATGTTAGTTTCTGCTTTAGCAAGGTCCTTTTTGACCCACCTCCTAGAGAAATGGAAATAAAAACAAAAATAAACATATGGGACCTAGTGAAACTTAAAAGCTTTTGCACAGCAAAGGAAAATGTAAACAAGACTAAAGGACAGCCCTCAGAATGGGAGAAAATATTTGCAAATGAAGCAATTGACAAAGGGTCAATCTCCGTTTGTTTATTTTTGTTTTTATTTTCATTACTCTGGGAGGTGGCTCAAAAAAGATCTTGCTGTGATTTATGTCAAAGAGTGTTTTTCCTATGTTTTCCTCTCAGAGTTTTATAGTGTCTGGTCTTACATTTAGGTCTTTAATCCATTTTATTTTTGTGTATGGTGTTAGGGAGTGTTGTAATTTCATTCTGTCCAGTTTTCCCAGCACCACTTATTGAAGAGGCTATCTTTCCTCCATTGTATATTCTTGCCTCCTTTGTCAAAGATAAGGTGACCATAGGTGTGTGGGTTTATCTCTGGGCTTTCTATCCTGTACCATTGATCTATATTTCTGATTTTGTGCCAGCACCGTACTGCCTTGATTATTCTAGCTTTGTAGCATAATCTGAAGTTGGAGAACCTGATTCCTCCAGCTCTGTTTTCCTTTCTCAAGATTGCTTTGTCTGTTCGGGTCTTTTGTGTTTCCATACAAATTGCAAAATTTTTTGTTCTAATTCTGTGGAAAATGCCATTGGTAGTTTGGCAGGGATTGCATTAAATCTGTAGATTGCTTTGTGTAGTGTAGTCATTTTCACAATATTGATTCTTCCAATCCAAGAACATGGTATATCTCTCCATCTATTTATGTTATCTTTGAGTTCTTTCGTCAGTGTTATATAGTATTCAGAGTACAGGTCTTTTGCCTCCTTAGGTAGGTTTATTCCTAGGTATTCGTTTTGTTGCAATGGTAAATGGGGTTGTTTCCTTAATTTCTCTTTCTGATCTTTCATTGTTAGTGTATAGAAATGAAAGAGATTTCTGTGCATTAGTTTTGTATCCTGCAACTTTACCAAATTCCTTGATTAGCTCTAGTAGTTCTCTGGTGGCATCTTTAGGATTTTCTATGTTATAGAATCACGTCATCTGCAAACAGTGACAGTTTTGCTACTTCTTTTCCAATTTGTATTCCTTTTATTTCTTTTTCTTCTCTGATTGCTGTGGCTAGGGCTTCCAAAACTATGTTGAATAATAGTGGCAAGAGTGGACGCTCTTGTCTTGTTCCTGATCTTAGAAGAAATGCTTTCACTTTTTCACCACTGAGAAGGATGTTTGCTGTGGGTTTATCATATATGGCCTTTATTATGTTGAGATAGGTTCCCTCTATGCCCACTTTCTGGAGAGTTTTTTTAATTATAAATGGGTGTTGAATTTTGTCAGAAGCTTTTTCTGCATCTATTGAGATGATCATATGGTTTTATTCTTTAATTTGTTAATATGGTGTATCACATTGGTTGATTTGCGTATATTGAAGAATCCTTGCATCCCTGGGATAAATCCCACTTGATCATGGTGTATGATCCTTTTAATGTGTTATTGGATTTTGTTTGCTAGAATTTTGTTGAGGATTTTTACGTCTATATTCATCAGTGATAATTGTCTGTACTTTTCTTTTTTTGTGATATCTTTGTCTACTTTTGGTATCAGGGTGTTGGTGGCCTCATAGAATGAGTTTGGGAGTGTTCCTCCCTCTGCAATTTTTTGGAAGAGTTTTAGAAGGATGAGTGTTAGCTCTTCTCTAAATGTTTGATAGAATTCGCCTGTGAAGCCAACTGATCCTCGACTTTTATTTGTTGGAAGATTTTTAATCAATTTCAATTTCATTACTTGTGATTGGTCTGTTTATATTTTCTGATTCTTCCTGGTTCCGTTTTGGACAGTTGTACTTTTCCAAGAATTTGTCCATTTCTTAGTAATCTTTTGAAGTTCTAACTACCTGGTCTTTGTTGCAAAAACTCCTGTGGATCCTGGCCCCACCCTCACCTCTTTGGAGCCGTCCCTCAGAGTGATCTGAGATGCTGTGTCCTAGGCTTAAGTCCTCAGTTTTGTCCGCCGAATAAAACATAATTCTCACCTTTTAGGTTGTGCATTTTTTTCCAGTCGACATGCCAAACCATTCCAAGCCTGACAGTGTGTAATAGTGCTTTCAAATGCTTCACTTTAAAAAGCCAGCTAAGCAAAGACCAATTTGGTAACACTGATACATTGTGACTTGAGAAAAATATTTAATTTGCACCTTTTCTTTTTAAAAAAATTAGGGTTTTTAGTAATATTTTTCATATGTTACTTCCACACTCTGTTATTTTGGTCTGTTTCTTTTATTCTGCATGTTTCCTTGATTAATTTGGAGAACATCTGCATATAATTCTCTGGGCTTTTCACTGGCAAAACCTCACAGCTTTTCACAGGACTTAGAGAGTTCCCGTGCCAGACAGTCTTGGATTGTAGCTAGTTGAAATGCCAAACCTCCAAAGATGCCAGAGCAGAAGTGTGTAATTATGTAATTTTCTCTTAATCTTTCAGAGTCTTTCTGCGAGCGATTAATCAGTATGCAGATATGCTGAACAAAAAATTTCTGGATCAAGCCAACTTTGAGCTGCAGGTAAGAGGAGAGGTAGACATGACCACTGTTAAGAAATCATGTTAAAACAAATTGCTGGTCTGAGCCCATATCTTATATTTCTAATCCTTGAACTTAAGTTTTCCCATTTAAGGTGTGGAAATGGAATTTACAGTGTGTGATACTGGAACCCGAGGATTGAAAATGATGCCTTTGGGCTATTTGCTCAGTTTAGCGAGGAAGGAGATGGAGCTGTTTCAGAGTGAAAGTCTTGAATCAGAGTGACAAGTAGGGACTCTCTGAGCAGGAAGGCCACCAAATCTCAATTGGTGAGGCTGCCAAGATAGTCTCAGACCATCCTAATGTGATGAGGGTCAGCCCAGGAGGAGAAGTGGGTCTGCATCACTGAGCCCAGCTTGCTTGTAGCTGTAGGTTTTCCCCTGATATATTCTCTTCCGGCTTTGTGCTGCCCCAATTGGCCTTTACCAGGCAAAAGGTCCCAGCCCTGCAACACCCCTGGGCTGTGGTCAGCTGATCCTTCCACGTTGGCCCTACTTCTCCAGTGCTTGTGGAGTGCGTGCGTGTGTGTGTGTGTGTAAAAAGGATTGGTTTTTCCCTGGCATGATTTCTTACTATGCATCTACTATTTGTGACTCTCATTTCCACTGAACTTCGGATATATTTCTGCTAATCATGATTTTGCCATTATGTAGTTTCATTTACTAAAGTTTGCAAATAAAAGCGTCCAAATGCAAACAGGTTAGTTTCCTGGGTGGGATTTTTCACTGAGAAGGAACCTGAAGAATTTATGTATACCCAGAGGGTGATCTGGCTCAAAACTGAGTTACCAGAGAACAAAAATCAGACAACCATCTACCTTCCCTTTTGCATGGTCTTCAGAAAATTTAGAGCTAATGTGCTACTCGGTTTATTAGATTAAGTTCTTAAGTGCCTAGGCCCTATTTCTTGTATCATTTTTTTAAATTAAAAATGTTTTATCGTCATTTAAGTACATAGTGGTACATCAGGTACTGTGTATTTGGAAATGTTACTTACTATTTTTCACAATTTTAAATGTTTTATTATTTTCTCTGCTTAATGTTTGTTTTCACACGTCCTGATACACAGATACATGCACGTAAAATATTTATGCAGTGTAAATCCACACATCGAATAAAATATGAAAGGCCCCTTACCACCCTTTCACTCTTTTCTCCCTCTGCCGGGTAACTTTTTAAATAATTGTTGTGTGTTCTCCTTGAGGCTTCTTTAAGCATTTACAGTTGACCCTTAAGCAATGTGGGAGGGCGGGGTGGAAGGTGATTAATCTGAGTATAATTCGGCCAACCACTATGCAGTACTGTAGTAGTTACTACTGGAAAATATCCACCTGTGAGTGGACCCGAGTAGTTCAAACTCGAGTTGTTCAAGAGTCAGCTGTATCTGGACCTAGACCTGCTTTCTTTTGGTTTTGAACGTGAATTGGGTCGTGCCAGTCGTGGTTTTCACTTCTATCATGTTCCACAACATAAATGTTACCAACATTGGTGCAGGCATTCCTGCACTGATAACCTGCAGGCTATTTTCAGTTTCTCCCATTTCCAAGCAGTGCTGCCATGAACAGTGTGGCACACGCATCTCAGTGCTGCATTGCTATAGAACAGGTTCCTGGAAGCATAATTGCCAGGCTTGACTGGTAAGATATTTTAAGCTTCATGGACACTAATAAACTACCGACCTAAAATGCTCTAGCAATTTGCAATCTCACCAGCCTTCTCTGAGAGCAGTCATTGTCTAGAGTCTTCTCCCATACCAATTTCTTTAAAATTGTTGACTCTTATTTTTATTGGCATTTCTCTGATTGCTAGTTGGGTTGAGAGTACTAATTGGCTGTGAGGATTTCTAGTATGAACTGTCTGATCATTTCCTCTGCTCACTGTCCTCTTGGGCTATTTGTCATACTTTTTTGCAAGTTGGAATTCTTGCTATAGCCTAGTCATGGGTTTAGGTTTATCGTATAGAAATATTTGGTTTTTCTGTAGTTAAATGTGTCAGTTCTTTTATGGCTTTTGGGTTTTATGTTTTGCTTGGCAAATCCGTCTTTGATTATAAATTTAACTATTCTTTATGTAGATAGTCTCTGATAATACCTTTATAGTTCTGCTTTTTTTTAACTTTCCAATGATTAATCCATCTGTGATTTCTTTTTTTAATGATTTTTGAAAAATTGATGTATAGTTGATTTACAGTTGTGTTTGCTTTAAGTGTACAGCAAAGTGATTCAGATACATATATATATACATAAAATATATACATCTGTATTCTTTTTCAGGTTCTTTTCCATTATAGGTTATTACAAGACATTGAATATAGTTCTCTGTGCTATACAGTTGGTCCTTGTTGTTTATATGCATCTGCATTTTCTATAGTTAGCGTTAGGGGCCAGAGTTTAACTTTACTTTTTCCCACATTATTTTATTGTCGACAAAAAATTAGTCAGTCTAAGGAAGAATTGGAAAATTTAATTCAAGCTGAATTTGAGGATTATAACCCAGGAAGAACATCTCAGAAAGCTCTGAGAACTGTTCTGCCAGTTAGAAATCAAGGCACATATAAGTTTTTTTGAGACAGAGGGTGGTACATCAAATGACATATTATTGACAGTTTACATAATCCAGATCTAAGTCATCAAGTTGGGTCATGTGACCCCTTACAAGGTCAAGAAAGGATGTTATCTTTTAAGGAGTTGTCTTGTTGATGCGAGGAGAATGTTTCTCTTTATGGTTGAGCAGCTATTTTCTGCCGATGGGCGAGGTTTGGTCAGTGCCTAATGCAGGTACACAATGCACAGTGAGGGGAGAAAGGAGTCCAAAGGGCAGAGAAGAATTTTTATGTTTAAATAACATATGAATTTTATTTCACATTATAAATAGTTTCTTCTTTCCCAGTGATTTGAACTGCCACTGAGGAAACTCATAATTACAAATGCATGTGGGTACATTTCTGTTTTCTGTGTTATTACCTATGGGTTTTATACCCAGCTAGTATAACCAGGACTTCCCCGTTAGTGTGTTATTGCAAAATTATCTTGACTCTTTTTGCGCATTTCCTCCTCTGTGTGAAATTCAAAATCACCTTGTTAAACTTCTTAAAAATGCTGTCTACATTTTAACTAGGATTCGGTTGAATTCATAAGTAATTGTAGGGGAAATGTAACAGCATTTTGGGGAATACGTGGCAGTATTTATTTTCTCCCATCCCACACAGGAATATTTAGGCCTTTTTCTGTGTCCTTCATTAGGTTTTCTTGTTTTATCCGTGTAGGCCGTGCCTGTCACGTGAGATGGCTGTGTGTTTCCGGTGTGACTGCAGTGGGCGTGGGCTTACTGGTTATCGCTGAGCTTGCGCATTGTTTCATGCATACGGTCCTCTGGATGCTCCCTTCAGGCCCAACACCTTGGCTGCAATGAGCCCTTTTGGCCTTTGTCCCTTGGCAAGTGTGAAGTGCATTTGATTGTTCCACTTTGGGGGGCTCCCACCCTCCCACCCCCAGGGGGAGGCTTGGGTGCCATGTGGCCGAGGCCGCCTTCAGCGTGTGGTCCAGGCAGTGGCCGCTCCCACAAGGTGCATTTTTGTGTTCTAACATTCCCTGCACAGTTCTCTCTCCTGACACTTCCTTCTCCTTTAACTAGTCATCCCTGTGGGCTGCTACTGCTTCCCTCTGTCCCTCCTCAGTCTGCTTCTCATTTCCAGCAAGTATGGTACGAAGAACTTTTTTTTCTTAACCTTATCCTAGTGAGCTGCCAGCCTGACACCCTATCACTTCCCCAGATCTGTAGTATATATTTCATACAAACAGAGACCGTCCCCTGCCTAACTAGAGTAAGAATACCAAATGCAGGAAACTTACATTCTCATCACCCCTAACCAGTCCTCAGACCACATTCAAGTTCAGTCGTCCCAATCCTGTCCTTCAGAGGTCAGCATCACAAATGCCGTTAGTTGTCACATCTGAAATCACGCGTAGCTTACAGGGTTTTTTTTTTTAATGTTTGTATTTTTATGTGATTTTTTAAAGACTTTGTTAATGGCAGTTTCAAGTTCACAGCAAAATTGAGAGGGAGGTGAAGAGATTTCCCGTAGACCCCTGCCTCCTGCACACGAAGCTACCCCACTATCAACATCCCCCACCATATGGTACATTGTTACAACTGATGGACCTACACTCACGCATCGTAATCACTGAGTCCTTACTTTACATTACGGTACACTGTAGACGTTCTGTCCACCCTGTGGGTTTGGACAAATGGAGAATGACTTGCATCCAGTTCCATTGCCCTAAAAATCCTCATCCTCCTCCTGTTCATCCCTCCCTCCCCCAATGCGTTCATTTTCTGTGTGTCTTTCGTCTCCTTCAGGCTACAACAGTTGCTCACTCCTTCCTGGCTGTTCTGTCCTCGGCACTCTTGCAGAGCCCAGGTCTGGGTTTGCAGACGGCCCTGCACTTGGGTTGCCTCACGTTCCCCAGTGCTTAGACCCAGGCTGCACCCTTGGGAGGAGCATCACGGAAGTCATGACCCCTGCCCCCCATGCCAGATGCTCCCAACTCCTGGGGGGCCCCCTTGTCCTGTTCAGGCTCTGACAATGGCCAGGGCATTTTTGAGGTGCACAATAGGCAGCCTCCTCTTTCCTAAGGATGTAAAAATCTCCTGAGGGTCCCAGTCTTGCTCTACAGGTGGAAACTGAGTCGCCAGGCACGTGGGCCACGAGGGAACCTCCTTCTTCAGGGCATTGGACTACGCAGTTCCCCTAAATATCTCCCGGGGCAGGGTTTTCAGGAGACTTGTGGCTCAGCTGTCGTCCTGGCCGCTGTGTGAGTGAAGAGAAGGAATATAGAGTTAGTGAAACTGGCATTTAAAAAGACACATTCATATTTTTGTCGATGTTGTTTTTATGGGCAGCAGGTATACATTAAAATACATTCTGGGTCCTGCTCTAGTGGTGCCCCTCACCCAAACGTGGCCGGGGACCCCTGCCAGTGCTGTGAGAGGAGGGCACTGCTGGGAGGTGGGTGGCGATAGCAGGGAGGTGTTAGTTCCAAAAACAAAGGAAGCAACTTGTACTTTATTGATTTGAGTCACCCCTTTTATTATAAAAAGGCCTAAAAGAGAAAGTGCCTTTGTGGGCAGGAAAGAGTGTGACCTGTGAGGTCCAGGATGGCCCGCTGGAGACCCTTGTTCTGCTTCACGTGTTTGTTTTTTGTGGTTTGGAGCAAGTCTCTGAACCTCATCTGAAATGGGAAGACCAGCCCTTACCTGGAAATGAGCTGCTCTGTTCCTGAAGAAATGCCAGTTCCTGAGGAGCACCGGATAAATGAAGCCCACTGCACTCTTAGCTACATCCATGCTGGAAAGTTTCCTCTTATTTCTCTGGTCGCTGAAAATAGAGTCATTACTGTTAACACCTTGTTTTTATGTAACTCTGTGTAGCCATCCCATTTGATGCAATGAATATTATCCCTGTTTTGTAAATAAGAAAACCAATACCCACAAATTTCTTCCTAAGATCATTGAAGGCACCTTGGAGCTTGGACATGTGATGGAAACTCTGTCCAGCTCTTTCCCACTGAGAGCAGGTGAAAGTTCCCCTGAAATATCCTGTGCTACAAGAATGGTCTGCTGAGGAGTATCTGTGATGGCCTGTCTCTGAGCCCCTTGCTGCAGTTCCTGGGGGGAGGAGGGTCTCCCCGCTTATCTCTCACCTGTGCTCCCCCACCCTCAGGTGCCGCCCTCTGAGAGAGGATGCGGATGGAAGCAATCTGGAGGAAGTGTCCATAGAGTTTTCATTTGCATTTGAGAAATCCCCATGGGTTCACCCTCAAATATTGATTATTCCTGATGGATCACTTACTTTGAGCCAGGCTCTGCCCTGGACCGGGAATCCTGCCCCCACCCTGTGTATCGTGGAGTGTAAAGGGAGGACGATTAGGGCAGGACTGTAGGGACAGACCAAGGTGCTCGAGGGCTCGAGAGGGCGAACACACCTGGTCCTGGTATGCTAAGACCCAGTGAGGGAGGAGAGGGGGGTGGACCCGGCATCTGCAAAGGCCCAGGGGTGGGGAGAGCATCAGCTCGAGGATCTGATGGGAAGACAAGGGTGCAGAGTATGGGTGGAAAGGCTGCTGCAAGGCAGAAGCAGAGGGAACCAGGCAGCGGGACTCCCCTTCAAACTCTGTTCTGACCAGAAACGTGTGGGAAGTTCCTGAAGAGGTTTGAGCTGGGGTGTGGCCCCCTCAGATTAGTGTCAGTTCCCTCTGGCTGCCCTGTGGGACAAGGTGAGGACAGGAAACAGGAAGCAGGCTGTTCTGGTCTGTGAGGGATTATGCCGACCTGGGGTGGGTGATACCCCAGCACTGAGACAAAGTGGGTGGGCTTGGGAGGGATTTATAAGGGGAAGCAGAAGGACTTGCTGATTGAAATGGTGGGATGCTGTGAAGGACAAAGCCCAGAGTAAATCCCAGGTTTCTCCCCTGGGCAGTGAGGGGTATGCCCGTGTCATTTATTGAGTTCAAGCGAAAAGCCCCCATTCATGGTCCAAGAATTCGTCCTTCATTTAAATTTTCTTCACCTGGTCTTAAACATTGACCTAATCAGGGGGTCTTAGTTTCATGACTTTAGGAATCTACCCATCATAACACTTATTGTTGAAGAACACTTTTATGGGATACTGTGTCCAGATACACAGAGCTTCCAGTGAAGAGCTTTACGAGGACAAAATCATTTTATAGTAAATTGTCATTTAAGCCACGTACAGTCTGTAAGTCCTTGACATATGAAATGTTGGATCTTTTTACGTTTTCCTCAATTTTCTAGTGTGTATATATTTTTAGTCTCATAAAAATGATAAATTATAGAAATCTACACAGTAAGTCCCCTACCTACGAACCTTCAAGTTGTGAACTTTCAAAAATGCAAATGTGCGTTCGCATGTCCAATCACGTACATTAGTTCACGCGTCTGGCGTACATTGTCCCTTGCGTGCATCCTCTACAAGTGGTTGTGCTTTTGTGTACTTTACGGTACTGTATAGAGTACAGTAGTACCGTGTCTTTATTTTCAAGCCCAGGACGTCCGGAAGCAAGCGTAAAAGCAGTGGTATATAGCTGATTGTGTTAGTTGGGTACCTAGGCTGACTTTGTTGGACTTACGACCAAGCTGGACTTACGAACGCGCTCTCGGAACTCCTTCATATGTAGGGGACTTGCTGTATACTATGAGGTAACGGGCTCCATAATACAGTATTAATAACAGCTAACATTTATTACGTGCTTACCGTGCTCCTGGCACCACTGGATGGGCACTGCATGTCTTTACTCCCTCCGTCCTTTAGCAGTCCTATCAGGTAGGTACTGTTGAAATTCCCACTTTACCTGAGGAAACCGAGGCACAGGGAGGTTAGCGTGCCGCCTAAGTGAGTGGCTGAGCTGGGACCTGACTGCATGCACCGTCAGAGCCCATGCTCAGCCCTGAACCACACCGTGGGTGGCCGATTAGCAGTGTGTGTGTAGAGAGTGCGGCTTTCAAACCTTTCAGAAGTGTGTGCTGGGCAAATGCTATTCTAAACGTCTCGGAGCGTTTCTGAGATCCTGTATTAATCGGTTCGGCACCTTAGCATCTCCCCTTTTTGGTTTCAGCTGTGGAACAACTATTTTCACCTGGCTGTCGCTTTCCTCACTCAAGAGTCCTTGCAGCTGGAGAATTTTTCAAGTGCAAAGAGAGGGAAAATCCTTAACAAGTAAGTCCACGTAGCCCCAAACGCACGGGCAGGAGCCTGCAGTTCTATTAGCACAGTCTTCTTGCGTCTTCTAAGCCAACTGGGTACCAATTGAGATGTAATCATGGTGTAACGAGAGGGTGGTTTCACACCATGAACTGAGTATTGCCTTTTGTAACCCATGAATGCAGATCTAAAACTGCAGCTTCATTCTGGTGGGTTGCAGGTCAGTGTCATTCAGGACTATTAGCACCGAACAGAATGGTAGTTTCGGGAGATAATTGCTTTTGCTGTGCACCGTGCTCATGTCACACCACGTATGGTTTGCTGTGTTGCTTAACTCTCCCAACGCTGCTTCAAACAAGGAAGCTTCTGACGGAAGCTGTTGGCGTCTTGGGATTGTGGGACAGCTCATCGCGGAGTGATGAGTCATCTGGGGCTCCTTCTTCGCAAGAGATGACCCCGGTCCTCTTCCAGGCGGGAGATCTGAAATTGCTTAACTAGCCCTTGGATTATCCTGAAAACGTCTGAGAAGCCCCGGGGAAGCCAGGATCCCTGCCTGGCTCCTTCAGCACTGCATCCCGAACAGCTCCTGGTCCAGGGTCAGGAAAAGAACCCTTACGTGGGTTTCTTTGCAACCCTTGGGCACTCTGAGGGCCTTGCCACCTCTCTCTCTGCCTCAATTTCACCAGCGTCTCAGTTCTCTGGGGGCCCCTTCCATCGGTACATCACGTTGCTAAGTCATCTGTCCCTGTTCATCACTTCGTAATCCCTCTGAGCCGTGTTGACGGTTCCAGGACATTGCCAGCCTGGTACCATCACTGAGGTTAGAGATTCCAGGGCCTCTCAGAAGGGGACAGCCGCTCAGCCCTCCTAGTATCCCAGGAGAGTGTGTCTCCCTTGCAGACCAAATGGAAAGCACGCTCTCCCTGGGGAGTAAGAAGTAGTTCAGCCAATATTTACAGAGCACGCGTGACTGCCAGTGACTTCCTAAGAACGTTTTATGCATTTTCCACGTAGAATCATTCGAACAAAACCCAAAACTATTCCATAGGTTCTCTTATCATCTTTATTTTCCAGACAAGGAAGTGAAGCAGGTTGTGAACCAGGGTCCCGTGTCTCACAGAGTCATTCTAACTCGGGCAGTTCAGAGCCCGAGACGTTTAGCTGGGCTGCTTTTAGAACCTTAAATCCTTCCCTGAGCCATCTAAAAGTCAGCTTTCATCGGGTCATCTTGGGACTTCCCTGGCTTCCCTTCCCAGTGGTTAAGACTCCCTGCTTCCCAGGTTTGATCCCTGGTCGAGGAACTAAGATCCCTCATGCCACGTGTAGCAGCCGAAAAGAAAACAAAACCAAAACAAAACATCGGGCCGTCTTTCCTTCAAGCTTCCGCAGTTGAATGACCGGTCTGTTGGCCGTTGATAGAGACAAGTGTTCCTTCTTCAGAAAGGGAAATGCACCCCGGGTGGTGTGGGCCCAGTGGGTGCCCAGCGGCGATGGCAGGGAAGATGCCCCCTCCTCCGAGCCAGCAGAGTTTATCCCTCATCTTGGCTCAGGAGACAGACTCTTCTAGGCAGCACCTTCTGGGGATTGGCTCAACAGGGATGCTACCACTTTGTGAAATGTACATTCCCTCAGTGCTCCCAGGAAGTTAGGGGTGGCTCCCAGCTTGTTGTCCTTGATGAAAGGCTGTCATGGCGAAAGCTGTTTATAATGGAAACCCTAGTAACCAGCACACACAGGACTCGGCCCTAGCCTCTCCCCACCACAGCCCTCCAGAGCCCTGGTTATCCTGTCCTGCCCACCTGTGTGCAGTGCTCACGTGGGGTGAGGCCGGGGTCCAGACCCAGCTCCAGCCGACACCGGTGCCCATTCCTTGCCAAGCTTGTAGCGCATCCTACCCTTAGAGATGCCTGTGGAGAAGAATTGAGTTTAAACCGGAAATCTGCCTGAAAAGAGCTGACGTCTCCTTCACAGTTTGGAGAATAAAACCATTTGATTTGAGCATTCTCCGGTCAGGGCGGGGCCCGTCTCTCTCCCTGGGCCCTTTCCTTGTTGGTGTGAGAGCGTTAAAATCTAAGCTAGAGCGACACCAATACATGCATTCACCACACAGGGCCTTGTCCACCAGAGAAAACGTTTGCTTCCCACATCGTGCTGTGCCTTCTGAAGCTTCAAAGCCAAGGAAAATTAAACACAGCCAGCTGGTGTCACCCCTCCCAGAGGGCCTCTGAATCGGGCTTTTAGAATTCTCTCTGTCACAGCCGTGGCAAGGAGAGACTCCAGATTTTCCCTTTGAAATTGTCTCATGGATCCCCCGAGGGAAAAAGCCCCAAACATTTCAGAAATTGTCTTTGCAGGAGCGTCTCAGCTCCTGTGCAGCCCGAGGGGCCCTCTCCCAGGGGCACAGGTTCAGTGTGTGGCCATGACAGGCCGCGGAGGAGAAGGAATTTCCAGCATCTGTGTTAATCCTGGCCTATGAGGCCGCGTGGCTAAGATAAAACGTGGGTTCACCTGTTTGTTGTATTCACCCTGCCTCTTGCTACACCTTAAACACTTTATCATCCATGTGCAATTTTAATTTCTAAATAGCAAAACCTGCATGAGAAATATTAGGAGATGGTCCTACCCAAATGCTTAAATTTTCTAGTGCCTTAGAAATGTTTTAATTTGTTTCACATTGTGCCATGTACTCATGGCACTAGAGTCCTGGTGCTTGGCACCCAGAGATACAAAGTTCACGGTCTAGGGGGCAGGTAGCTGTGCAAAATTATATGATTGGAGTAGAACGTAAGTGCTCCCCAGGTGCCTTGGCAGCCCGGAGGTGGGCATGTAGGACTCGGCCTGGGTGGCGAAGGTGGCTGAGACGTTCACCAGACTGATTGACTGACCCCCTTGTCAGCAAACAGCCATTCCCAAAAGGGGTCATCGCGTCCTAAGGGGCAGGGCCCACTCTGTAAGCAGAAATGCTCTGCGCTGCTGAAGCATAAGTGAGTGGCCGGGCCTGGAGTGATCGGAACTTGGGGTAAAGGTGCGAGGGACCAGGTGACACGGGGACTAACCCCAGGCGTCTGAGCAAATGGCGGGCTGCTGATTTCCGGCACAGTGGAGCGTAATTCAGGGGGTTATTTTCTTCTAGAGGGAAAGGCCGTGGGGTCTGAAAGTGGAGTGATGACCCCCTGTTTAGTAGCCTCTGGCTGTCCACGTCGGCTCGTCTACTGCTGTAGGGTTTGTGAATCCAACGCAGGGCTTCGGCATGAGCCCCCTCGCGCCCCCGGCACGGCCCTTCCTCTCTGTCGCGGCCTGCACCTCCTCCTGCCTGCCTGGTCCATGGCGCTGTGGCTCAGAACAACAGAAAATCCCAGTATCAGAAGATCTGCCTGTTCGTTCCCTCTTGTTAAGCTTCCCGTCCTCCTGGTGACCTAGGTTGGGGAGATAACGAGGATATTTGTTCCAAAGGCATTCCCCAAAGCACACGGGAGCGACATCAAAGAATGGGCCATATAGTGTGCAGAGCACTGAGGAAGCCAAACCCAAACTGAATACAAGATTTGGCAATGATCCACAAAACAAATAACCTCTAGGAATCAAAGTCCATTTAACTGACTCAAAGAACATTTAACTGACTCACCTTCAGACATCCTTGGCGCTAGTGACTCCTAACAAAGACAGAGAAGGCGACAGAATGCTAACCCTGACCTTCATGAATGTCCCATCCTCCATCCCCCACGCCTTGTACGTTATGGGGGCTCCGGAAGTATGAGTCAAATGTGAAAGAGTTGGCTTTGGATTAGCAGCCAGCTTGACCATTTTAGTTTGTAAGACATCGTGTGTCCTAGCGTTGGGGCAATGGGGCGATGTGACTGCAACTGGTCTTCTGTGTTCAGGACCAGACTGCCTTCTTGAAGAGGAAAGGGGTTCATGAATGGGCCTCCAGCAGCTCTAAGCATAAAATGCCCATTTAAAAATTCCAGCCCGAGAGAGTAAAGCGTGATGGCCAAGCCCAGGTCAGTGGATTTGAACCTAGGTGATTAATGTGGGTTCTTCATGGTACCCTCTCCCCGGTTGGTCCCGGGATGTTGCCCATCCTTTTCTGGTTCGTTTCGTTTTTCCCATAGAAGTCTATCCTCAGCTCACTGCCTCTTCTAAGAGGACAGGTTTCACTACTGGACCAAAATATCACAATGTTTCCAAACACTGGGTTCTGAAACATCAGTGTGTTAATTCATACTGTACACATTACTTTTTAGGGAAACCAAAAGGAAAAAAGTACACAGTGACAAGCCTTGCTTTGCAGCGTGACCTAATCTGAAGCTGGAGTTGAACGTTCCAAATTATAAAAGGAAATTATTTGTGTTTGTGCTAATTTTTTTCCCAAGAGACTCAAATTATTCCAGATAAATTCACTATGTACTAAGAAATAGAAGGGGACCCAAGGAGATGGACTCAACAAGCTGTAACCTGTGCTAAGGTCCTTTTCGAAGAGTTAACTAAGTGTCCCACATGCATTAGCGATGCTGTATTCTTTTTTTTTTAGCTGAAGTATAGTTGATTTATAACATTGTGTTAGTTTCTGGTGTACAGCAAAGTGATTCAGTTATATATTTTTTCAGATTATTTTCCATTATAGGTTGTTACAAGATAGTGAATATAGCTCCCTGTGCTGTACAGTAAATCATTATTGCTTACTTCTTTTATGTAAAGTACTGTGCATCTGTTAATCCCATACTCCTAATTTATTCCTCCTCCAATCCCTTTCCCCTTTGGTAGCCGTAAGTTTGTTTTCTGAGTCTCTTTCTGTATTATAAATAAATTCATTTGTATTATACTTTAGATTCCACATACAAGTGAAACTATATGGTGTTTGTCTTTCTCTGTCTGACTTACTTCACTCAGTATGACAATCTCTAGGTCCATCCATGTTGCTGCAAATGGCATTATTTCATTCCTTTTTTATGGCTGAGTAATATTCCATTGTAAATATATACCACATCTTCTTTTAGTGATGCTGAATTTTTTTG